CAGCTTCCTCCTCCCGCCATCCCACTTTAGCAGACTCACTTCCCAGGAGCAAGCTCATCCCATGGCTTGGGCATAAAGCATGAGATCACAGACACCTTGTGTGGGACTATAGGCATGAGAAAGCCTCATTCCATACCCAGGCATAGGTTAGGACCAGTTTGGATTCTCTCTATGAATCCGGGTAGGAGAGGGCATAGCATCTCTGTCATAAAACTACATGTAGGAGATCAGAAAACAGTAGGGGACAGCCTATAGGTAGTAAAAGAACACAAGTATTAAATTTGTGACCTAGATAGTTATTATACCTCAGACTAATGATTAGTTCTGAACTTTCTGGTGGATAAAATCTAAAGAGACAAATTATCTGATATATATAGTCTTCAAGAGAAGGCTTGCCCTTCCTAACAATGGATTCTAAAAGAAATTGTTTGCAATGATCAGGGATACACTTAAAAATATTACTAGAACAAAATTACAGATGGATGACAACCACTATTGTTTTACCTCCCATTGAGAAAAGCAAGTCACATTAAAACAAATTGTTGCTTATTAACATGGCAGAGAGGGTCAACCAAGAGTATAAGGAAGCCTGAAAACAGAAGGTCTTACAGGTCTAGTCATAGCTTTGTTCACAAAGGATGTAACTCACCCATCTGTGAAACATGGATAATAAAAGTACCTCCATTCTTCATTCTGGTGTGAAATGATGCTCAAATAAGATAAAGGGGTCTAAATAAACCTATCTTACTGCTCTGTTAACCACCTGCTCAGGCTTCTTCTAACACCTAACAAGTACAGAACCTAAGTCCCAGACTGCTCTCTCTCTCTACAGAAGCTCTGTCAGTTCTCTCAAGTTCCTGAATTCTCACGGATCCCTTTTCCTCCCTTGAGCTTCAGTATGTCCTATCGACATGGGCCTGTGTTGTCTCCATTCTTCTCCTTCTGATTGAAGTCCCAGAAGTTCTACCCTTATCTCTGACAGGTTCTCTCTGTCCTGCTTTGATTGCCAGTGGAGTAGAAGGATTGACATACTCTGAACCCCATACAAACTCAGTCCCTGCCTGGATCGAACACTAACTCTACTCATTTCTCTAGTGCCTAGTTAATAAGTTTGCTCTCAGACCCTACAGGCAAATGATTTTTAGGGAACTTTCCTCATTATAGCTTTATATAATAGCTCTGATATATGAGAGCCATTTTTCAAATATATGACTCCAATTAACCCTGAATCCTTGCCTGATCCATCCCAGTATCCATTGTCACAGCTTGCAGCCTCAACACATGCATGACTCATGGGGATATTTGGAGGAGATGGTGGTGGACCTGTTGGGGGCGGGAGGTGGGAAGAGTGTTGTGAAACCAGCTTTTCCCAGTCACTGATGTGTTCTCATGATATTCATTGTTATTTATAAATCTTTAGAGAAATAAAAATATAGACCCTCAGCACTGAGTGACACTGAACTAGCCAAATAGTAATATAATAATACCAACAACAATACAAAAAGAAACAGCAACAATCTGTATTTATAGAGCACCTACTATGTACAACCTGACTTCTAACGACTGTATGCATATTATTTATGTAATCATCACAACAGCTCTATGAAGTAGATGTAATTTTTATCACCATTTTACAGATGAGTAGTCATAGTACAGAGAAGACAAGTGACAAGCCTAACGTTGTACAAATAATAGGTGATGGAACCTGGATTTGAAGCTGGGTGATCCGAGTGCAGATACTAGACATTTAACCCCTATGCTGTGCTCCCAAGAGGGTCGTGCTCCCCCTCTGCCCATGCCAAGCATAAACACTGGGTGAAGTCAATTGACCTTAAGTGTCATCATAATTCTGCCTCTGTTTTAACTCTGTGAAATGACTTATCTGATCCTTCAACTCTCATGTGTGAAATGAAACCATATAACCAAGCCAAACAACACATTTTATTTGCAGTTAATTCACCTATTCAACAAATAAATAAGTACTGACTCTATGTCAAGAACGGTTTTCAAGGTATTACCATTATTTCTTTATTACCTGATCTCATGCATTTATTAGATAAAAATTTCTAACAAATATAACAGAAAGGAAATGGCCTACTTTGTGAGGTAATGAGTTCTCCAAATAAAAGCATTTCATTTCAGGCCAGAAAGCTCAGCATTAGGCATATGGGAGAGGGGATATAAGCGCCTAACTAGGTGTTTGCTAAGACCCCTCCAAGGCGGAATGAGTTTGTGAGTTGACAGTGCTCCTTACATCTTTTAACTGCCTGTGAAGATCCCTGGAGGAGCTTGGAGGAAGGGATTAGGAGGCTGAGGAAACACTGCTGCCCGAAGGTTCTAGGGCTGACTTTCATTCTATGGTACTACCATACATACATACTACGCTTTAGGACGGTATTTCCCAAACTAGCAGAATCACCCAGAGAATATTTAAACAATGTAAATACTTAGGACCCACTACTCAGAGATTATAACTCAATAGGTCTTAATTGGGAACCAGGAATCTTCATTTTAACTGTGCTTCCCAGATAGCTCAGATGCACAGAAGGTTTAGAGTCTCTGATCTATAACAGCACCAAGATCAAGACTGAAAGAATTCTTTCCTTGCTTCATGCAGTTCCTTACTGGGTTAACCCTATTATTCTTCAGCCTAGAACTGTGTGATCTTTACTTGCTCATAAACTTTCCAATATTCAGTTTTTCCATAGGCAGTAACTCCTAACTCACAGTGTTGTTCAGAGGAGAAAGTAAAACCTGTGAAATGTAAGACAAATGTGGGGGAATGTGAGGGACTCCCCTTGTGGGACTATTATCTCTAAAGTATGAATGGCTTAGAACTACAGGTTCACAGACTGACAGAGCAGAAAGTCCTGATGCCACAAACTGAGCAACTTGCCTGAGACTTCTTAATGCCTGCCCCCTATCCTCTTATATTTTATAGAACTGTCCTTCCTAGGTAAAGATAACACTCCTGATCCAACTGGAAGCTGGCTTTTCAGTGAGGGGTGGTATTACCATCCCTGCCTTTTCCTTAATATGTGTTAATTGCAAGCTGAAAGATACAATCTACTGGGTTATCTCTTTTTGACACAGTGGAGAGAATGATGGTGAAGTCTTTAGCATGTGGTTGTGATAAGCCAGAGATATTATGAGTACAGCAGTCACTAAGTATGGGAGGATGGTGGAGCCAAAGATCTGTTCTGTTCACCTTGGCGAACATCAGAAGAGAGGGATGAAGTTATACAAGAGCAGGAAAGCTCTGTTGCTATAGGTTGTGGTGTCTCATTTCTTGGAAGATTTATAAATATCTTCTTGGGATCATTGCCTGGAGGAGAAGCGTAGGGAAGGTGATCTCTCTGCATCCTTTCTGATCTTAGGACTAAAAGGTATCATTTGATGGTGACATTTGTAAATACAAGCTGCAATAGGAGGTCTTAGTTATTGCTCCACTCACTGAGGTCAACTGAGGGGCCAGGGTAGAGCCCAGGATTCAAAGAGGGATGCTTACATTTGTTACAACAACCATCAAAGATGACCAATCAGAAAGTCACTCAGGTCCTAATATGATCAAGCAGCCCCTAAGCACAGAGGTCTCATCATTACCTCAGAGATCAAGATAAAAACAACACAAATAACCACACTCACTTTACAAGTGAAGACACTGAGGCCTGGAAGAGGCAAGTGACCCACAGCTGGTCAGTGTCAGGACTGGGCCTGTGCCTCAGGGATGACCTGCTACTTCATTCTAAGGGAGTTTTCTACAGTTGGAGAATTTAGAGAAAGGAGGGACCATAATACTGGCACCAGATGACACTGCTGTGTGTTCCCCAATACCACAGGAATGACTCAGCAGCCGGGGAATACTTGGGACTGTAATAAAGAATGATGTTTGTACTGTACCTACAGCTTACAGAACCCCATTCAATGCTGGTGTTGGTTTCTTCATTCAAACCACCATCCTATACATGGTGGGCCTATGTCTCTAGTTGACACTATACAGACAGGGGCAGGGGATTGGCTTTTGTGACCATGTCACCAGAAGTCATGGGGATGTGTTATGCTGAACAGATCTTGTCCCTTTCTTTCATCCACTAATTGGGATGGTCTCAGGCCCCCGGGGCCAGATCATTGAACATGGGTCATGACTGTTCCTTCCACCCCAAGGAAAGCACAAGCAGCATGGGTCCTTCAGCAATGCGGATATGAATCCCACTGCCCTTGAGAAGATCATGAATCCTCTCCCAGTGCAGTTTGCCAGAGTCAGACCCACATGTCTGCCTGCCCATTGGGATTCTGTTCCATAGGAGGACTGTTCAAAGATCTGACCACTCATTCAGAAAGAAGACCCTTATTTTCCTTTATTTCATCACTTAGGAATTAGCTTGATAAGAATCTCATGCATACCAATGCTGGCCTGATTGGTACCTCACCCTTCTATTAAGGGCACACCCAAGACAGCAGGAA